GGCCAGAGTGGCCACTTTGCACGCGATTGCCCCCAAGCCGCTGGCGGTACTTCCACTGAACCACAGTGCTACCGGTGCGGCGAGGTTGGCCACTCGACACGCGATTGCCCTGAAGCTTTGCCCTGAAGCTCCTGACGGAGGTGCAGCTTGAAGCTACAGTGGAGGTAGCTATGGCTCCTAACGAGGATTGTAAATCATAATGCAGATGTCAGGCGATGTCCTCCGGGGCTTCTCAGAGCGCGCAGACACTCACATGTCCCACCTAGGGGGACATACCTCTTGAATGCTAAGGCCATCGATGACCGCGCACAGCTCTCTTGTCTATTGGCACGCCTTGAGATCAATGTGAAAGTCTCGGTAACAAAGTTCGATGGATTGTTGCACCTTAAAGGCGGTGCTTGACAGCTGCCGCCGTCTTATGCTCCGGCGTACACGCCGCAACCGCGAGGAGGATGATTCTGAATTTCGATAGAATACCGCATTATCCTCGTCCATACAGTTTTGAGAATGAGCAGAATTCTTGAAGATGCAGAGAGTTGACTTGGTAGCTGCAAACGTATAACCTCGCCCGACGCCACAAGGCACAGACTGGACGCTTATTTACCGGTGTGAAAGTGATTGCCGCCCCGTCCCGAAAGCAATAACATCGCTAGCGCTGCTTTTGACTGTTGGAAGATCCGTTGAGGCCGTATAATAAACAGACCGTCTGCATATGTCCTCTGGCAACACTCCGCCCAGCAATGAGTCGTCTTAGCGGCCATAGCAGAGGAAACGTCGCTGCAGACTTGCCCAAGCGGAGTATTGACTCACCTGCACCGCATGAACAAGGAAGATCATGCTAGCCGTGCCTGGCACCGACGTGTACTAGACTCATTCGTGAATGATCCGTTGTAATCCCCTGTACGAGCGCTATTCGTTGACAGTGATGGCTTGGCGAGGGGCGCTATTCGAATAAAAACCATGTAAGTTGCAAGTTGCCATGTCAGTCCTTTCCCCACAGGCCGCCAATCCCCTCCATTCCTCTCCTTGTCAAGTCGTTAAGGTTCCCAGTAAGAGACGATGTACGCCGTTGCTGTAGCATTCGTCACTCTGGCTGCAGCCTCTTCGAGTGCAGGTACGCCACATCCTTCCCCTGAATACCAGTGTGGCGACGGTATCCTAACCATAACTCTCCAGCCACCTCCATCAGCGCCCGGACACCAGGACTCTTCCTGCGCCAACTGGACCCCTCCTCATACCCTGCCCAGTGCCAGCCCACATGTAGCAGCTCTCTGGGCACCATCCAAGTGCGTATATCCTCCGAATTCAGAATTCTACCTGCCATTTGTTAACGTCCGCCTGCAGTCATGCACTGACGTCGCATGCATGTGCACGGACTCGATCAACCAAGACCTCGCCGCCTGCGTTGACTGCATCCTCGGCTCGGACGGCACAACTCCCTCCGCTAGCCTCATCTCGCAGGCCCAGCAGGTCCTAGACCGTGCGTTAGCCTTCCCCAGTATCATCCGTACTCTGCTCACACATTGCCAACCCCCCTAGAATACGAGGAGTCATGCGCGGAAGGCGGCGCCCCCGTCGCCACACTCACGGCTACGCCCTCGTACCTCTCCGGCTCCGCGTCCACCGTGAACGCGCCCTCAGTAACACGATCCGGCTCTTCCGTTACGTCCGCTTCGTCCCCACAGGTCACCTTTGTCGGTACGAGCACGCCCTCGTCGGGCGCTTCGACTGGTACCCTCACCAGCCCCGCTGCCGGTACGAACGCTGGGACCGTCCTCGGTTCACAGACAACAAGCAGCGAGGTCAATCCCTTTGCACAGAGCGGCAGCGGAAAGATCGGAGTTCCTGCAATCCCTGCATTTGCGGGTGCTGTTCTCGGCGGATTGGCTGTTTTACTTTAAGGGATTCATGGTGGGCTGGGACACTGGTGTTGAAATGATTTATTATGTCACTATATCAATGTCTCGTTATTTATACCTCTGTCGGTGATGTGGTACAGATCATCTTTGTAATTCACACTCTTTGCTCTGACACTGGTGTTGGCGGTCGAAAAGTCTAAATGACCAATTTACGGATACATGTAACAGATCCACAACCAAGAGACTAGAGACAAGAAGATAGACAAAGTGCATAGTATTTGAGAATAATCGTCGAGGAACGAACGAGGCGAAAGAAGGAGCGCATGGCAGATGAACAAGACCAGATGTAGGATACCTACACCCTCCCGATCGTCATCACATGCATCACCACATATGTCCGAGACGAGGACCTCAAGAGGCTCCGCGAAGAATACCGTTCCTGTACGGCCTGTCGCATACGCGACGTGAGCTGGCATGACTGGAGTCGTGAATACCTGATCCTGCTGGTCCAA